ATTGGATTGTGACTTCCTTGAGGGCTGGGACTATTTCATCTGTCTTTGTATCCCCAGTGCTCAACACAGTGCTTGGCACGTAGTAGGTGCTTAATAAATGTTTATTGACTGACTGATTGACTCATTGCTGTTCTTCTCATAAGTCATTCCATCTCCCCACTGGGCATTTTCCCTGGCTGGCCCCCATATATGGTATGTCCTCCCACCTTATCTTAATTTCTGGTTTCCCTGGATTCCTTGAAGTCCTTGCTAAAATCCTACCTTCTACAAGAAGCCTTCCTTGATCACCTTAATGTTGGTACTTTTGTACTGTTGATTATTTCTTCCTTAATTTTAGTTCCTTCCCTCTGGGAAGGAAATGTGTTTCTCTTTGGGAACTGGGATAAAGTAAATGCCAGGAATAAGACCCAGGACAATAGGAATCTCTTTGGGTTGAGCAGGTAAAGGGTGATGAGTGCAAGTAGGAGTTAAAAATACTCTTTACCACATTGTTCTCATTATTGATGATCTTTACTTTAACCTGTCTACTTCTTGTTTGTCCATAGATGATAACATGTCTTTCCATTAGAACATGAGCTCCTTGAGAGCAAGGACTTTGGCTTTGTATCCACAGGGATTAGCACAGTGGCTGGCACATAGTAGGCATTTAATAAATGCTTCTTGACTGACTGGTTGCTTGATTAAATTTTTTTTGTGTCTGACACTTTGGAGCTGTGCTGAGGTGGAATATTGTTAACTTATTGTTGTGGTTCAATTATTTTCAGTCATGTCTGACTCTTTGTGACCCCATTTGGGGTTTTCTTGGCAAAGATACTGAAATGGTTTGCCATGTCCTTCTCCAGCTCATTTTACAGGTGAGAAAACTGAGGCAAACAGGGTTAAGTGACTTGCCCAGGGTCACACAACTAGTAAGTGTCTGAGACCAGATTTAAACTCAGGAAGATGAATCTTCCTGATTCCAAGCCTGGTGGTCCATCCACTGTACCACCAATACTTATGAGTACTGAAGTGATAATTGGAGACATGAGGGATTATGAGATTTTAGCTTTTAGAGATAGTGTAAAAGTAACTCAGATATGTGTATATATATATGTATATATTGCTTTAAAAGTTTAAAAATATTTTATATGGACTATCTCTTTTGATTCTTAGGACCATTCTGTGAGGTAAGTTATCCTCATTTTACCTATTAGGAAAATGAAACTGACAAGAGGTTAAGCGACTCAAACAGATTCATGAACTAGTAAATATCTGAGACAGGATTTGAACTTAGACATTTCTGACATCAGGTCTAGTGGTCTATCCATCACACCATACTCTTAGGTAGTATAATCCTTCTTACAGATAAGGAAACTGAAGTCTTTGGAGGCTTGGTAGATTATTTAAAGTCACACAGCTTGGAATTTGAACCCAAGTCCTCTGACTATGACAAATGGAATTTTCCCATACTTAGAATTAAAAAAAGCAAAACAACTATCCTAAATTAAGCTAAATACTCACATGTCTCCTTCAGGTAGCTTTCTCTAACTTACGTGTGGAACAAGAATACCCAAAGCATGAATTAGGAGTCCCTTTCCCCATCTAAATCCTGTATTAGACCAAACAACTCTTTTCTGATCTCGTCAAGTGGTGAATTATATGTTACATCGATAGGCAATATGGAGTCTCCCTGGGAAGAGTTGAGAAGTGAGTGTCTACTGAAAGGGATGGCTGGAGGATTCATGGGCTCTATAAAGGAGAACCAGGGTCTAGAGTGAAGCCCTAGAAAGCAGTAGGGTAGGAGGGGGATAGGTGGGTAATCTGTATAGGTCAAGTGGTTTGAGCATAGAACTGACCTCCAACAAATACCTTTGGGATTAAATTGAATCTATCTCTATATGGGAGAAGATAGAGGGGCTATGTTCTTTGTGGCAAGGTTGTAGATGTAGATCATTTCTGCAGGAGTTTGGTGTTCCCACAGGGAACATGCATGAGAAGAGAGGAAGGGAAAAGCATTTATTAAGCTCCTGATATGTGTTAGGCACTGTGCTAAGCACTTTACAAATATTATCTCATTTGATCCTCACAACAACTCTGTGAGGTTGGTAGTATTATTATCTCTATTTTACAGTTGAGAAACTGAATAGAAAGAGGTTAAGTGACCTGTCCAGAATCTCACAGATAGTATCTGAGGTTAAATTTGAACTCAGATCTCTGTGCCTCCAAGCCCAGTTGTATATCTCCAGAACCTAGCTGTCTGGGAAGGAGATCTTCATAGGTCTCCATAAAGGAAGAATAGATATTTCTGCAGAAGAGAGTTATAGAGACAGTCTCCATAAAGGAATCAAAATGGAAGTAGGAAAGAGTCAGTCAACAATCATTTATTAAGCACTTAATATGTGCCTCATATTGTGCTATAGGAACTGTGCTAAACACTGGAGGTATAAAGGTAAAAGCATAGCCTCTACCTAGAGGGAGTTCACAAGCTAATCGGGGAGATGACATGCAAAAACTTTTATATGTAAGATACAGGGTAAGAATAAATTTAACTTAGAGGGGAGGTACCAATAGAGGGAAGAGGTTTGGTGTTGCAGTGGGAATAATGTACTGGGTAAGGCCTCAAGTCAACTTGGAAACAATAATGTACAAATAAGGATAAACTAAAGGCAATCTAAAAAGGGGTGTGTGTGTGTGTGTGTGTGTGTGTGTGTGTGTGTGTGTTGGGGGGGTGGGTGTGGGTGAGGTTGTGTGCATGTGCACACATGACTAGGAAAGACCTGTTGAAGAAAGATTTTCCCTGAATCTTGAAAGAAGCCAGGAGGCAGATGTGAAGAGGTAGGAAAATATTCCAAGCATGGGGTGGGGTGGGGGTTGGGGGAGCAGCCAATAAAAAGTCATGAATTCCGGAGCTGGAGTGTCAGATTTGAGCAACAGTATGAAGACCCCTCTATTGCTCTCTGAGTGACCCTCATTTTGAATACTGTGGAGGCTGTAGTGTCTCATGACTCACAGCCATAGAACAGCACTAGAATTAAAAAGATGAAGCTTTTTTGTGAGTAGTTTGTTGTCATGAAAAGAGCTCTGCAATTTCCAGAAGACAATTCAGCTCACTTTCTTCCTCTTGTTTAATACTGGGCTCAATTGTTCCATCTGCAGTGACTGTCGAAGATTATATATACACATATATACATATCTATACACACATACATATACACACCTATGGACAAGCTCTGTAGCAACTTAAGCAGCGGTTCTTCAAGAATAGATGATCTTGGCTCTCACTATATTGAAATGTAGGTGTTTGTAGAGAGGAGTTGGTTTCCATAGAGAATTGTAGGGGAAGGTAAGTGGTCTGTATAGTGAAGGCCTAACAGAGACTATAGGGGAAGGCAAATCCTCCTGTAGAGGAGAATTGGGGGGATAGGGAAGGAAACAGTGCCTAGGGAAGGAGGCTAGTGAGTCACTTAAACATCTATTGGGTCTCCTCAGGTCAAGACAAGAAGTCTTTATTAAGCACTTGCTACATTCCAGTTACTGTGCTAGCACTAGGGATACAAAGAAAAGCAAAAAACAGTTACTGCTCTCAAGGACCTCACAGTCTAACAGGAGAGACAACATGTATACAACCATGTACAAACAAACAAGATAGATACATATCTATGTATAAGCACACACATATATAGATACATATGTGCATGTAGAGATAGATCTATACATAGATATGTATCTATCTTGTTTGTACATGGTTGTATCTAGTACATAGTTGTACGTATCTATATACATACACAATGTGTATCTATACATATATATCTATCTTGTTTGTATGTACTTGTTTGTGCATATATAGTTGCATATATAAGTTCATAGTTGTTTTTATATATGTACATAGTTTATATATATATATAAGCATATATGTGTGTGTGTATGTAACACATACATATCTTGAGCTGATCTTAGAGAAAAGGCACTAAGATAAAGGAGGCCTGGGAAAGTCTTCTTGCGGAAGGTGAGACTTCACCTGGGACTTGAAAGAAGTTAGGGAAGCTATTAAACGGAGATGAAGAGGGAGAACATTCCAGACTAAGGGACAGTTAGTGAAAATGCCTCGAGTTGGGAGATGGATTGTTTTGTTTGAAGACCAGTGTCATTGGATCAGTCAAGTAAATAGAGGGAAGCAGTATGTTAAGAAAACTGGATAAGTAAGATTGGGCCGGATTATGAAGCACTTTCAAAAGTCAGAGGGTTTTATACTTGATTCTAGAGGTGATAGACACTGGAGTCTGTCGAATTGGGGTGGGCTGGGTGACGCAGTCAGGCCTGCTCTTTTGACAGCAGATCAGAGGATGGATTGGCAGGCCAAGATCAGGCTATTGTAACAGTCCAGGGAACTGCACTGGGCTGGCACCAAGGTCTGATAGGAGAAGGGGGGCATATACGAGATGCAACGTAGAAATGACAGGATGTGGCAATGACTGGATACCTCTAGTAAAGGAAAGGACATACGAATATTGTAAAGAACACTAGATTTGGGAATCAGACTACGTGGGTTTGAATGCTGACTCTCCTAGTTCCTATCAGGGTGACGTTGGGCAAGTCACTTCTCTCTGAGCTTCATTTTGCTCTTCCGTAAAATGAGATGTTGGACTAATTTGTAGTTTCTCTTTCAGCTCAAACTCCTTGGATCCTATGATTGCCTTTCAACTAGCTTTTCTTTTTTTTTTTTTTTAACCCAACCCTTGCTCTGCCCTATCCCGAGCCTTCCCTGGCTAAGCCCTGAGGGCCCTGGACTACAAGTCCCAGCAGGCCCCACGCGGCGGGAAGGCGGTGGGGGCGGGGCTGGGCGTGTGTCTGAGCCTCTCTGCCTCAGCCTCTTATCAGAGTGTGGCGGGGAGGGAGGCTGCTGAGCCGTGGGATTTAGGCGCGCGCGCGCGGCGGCGGGGACGCGCCCCAGCAACCATGGCGTTTCCCGGGACGGAGCGAGTGAAATAGACCCGGGAGGGGGCCAGAGGGGCGGGGCGGGGAGAGAGAGGCAGGCAGGGAGAGGCTGAGGCCGGGCAGCGCCGAGTGGGGCCAGGGCCCATGAGGAGTCCCGGGGACCATGGGCTCCAGGATCAGGTGAGCGCGGGCAGGCAGGCCTGGAGCTGGGGAGGCCGGGATGAGGTTGGGGGAAGAAGGGTTGGAGAGGCCGCGGGCCCGGGGGACTTGTTGCAGTGACAGGAAGGGCCTCGTTTACTCGGGAGTGGGGGGTGGGGGCGCGAGCTGTGGAGTGGAGGGGGGAAGTTGCCATGGTGACTAGAGAGGACTGGAGTGTGTGGTGGGGGGGGCAGGCAGCTGGTCCGGCGCCTCCCGGGCCCCGGGTGGGGGCGGGTCGGGGCCCCAGGGGAGGGGAGGAGGAGGGAAACTCCGCTTGCGGTGGGGAAGGGGGAGCGGGGATGGTAGTCGGGCAAGTGCGAGGGTCGCATGGAGAGGGAACATGTGAGCAGAGGGGTCACGGTAGCTTGGTATCTACTTCAGCCTCCCTCATTTTACAGAAGGGCAGTGTGGTTTAATGGTGAGGACCCTGGTGCTGGAATGAGGAAAACTGCTTTCAGAATACCCTATCCCACATTCAATAGCTCTGTGCTCCTGGGAGAGTCATTACTTTCCTCATCTGTTAAATAGAGAAAATAACAATTTCATCACCTATCTTTACAGAGTTTTTGTGAGAAACTTGTTTTGTCAACATTTTAAAACACTGTAGAACTGGGGCATACTGTTTTTATACGTGAGGAAACTGAGGCTCATAAAGGGGAAGTGATTTGCTCAAAGCCATATAGTTTTTAAGGGGCAAAGGAAGGGTTGGCATACAGGTCTCCTTATTTTAAATCCTGGGAACTTAAAAATAGGGCGGAGGTGGGACGTCAAAAGGCCCGGGGGTGGGGAGGGTGGGGAAAGTACTGGAAAGGAATCACTAGAACTTTAGAACTTAGAAGTACTCTTCTGTATAAAAGCCTCTTTGGTCAGAAGAGAGAACTGAGGGCCAGAGAAGGAAAGTGATCGAGGAAAATACTATTTATTCCAATTCTCTTCATTTTAGAGACCAGGAAACTGAGACCCTAAGAGTTAATGTAACTAACTTGTCCAAAGTCACAAAGGTGGCAAAGTCAGCGTTTAAACCCTGATCCTTTGACCAATTCCATTGCTTGCTTCTTCCACCATACTGAAGAGAGTGGGGGTGGGGAGCGGTGTCATAAAACGCTTTGATAGCATTTATTGAGTGCTTGCTTTGTGCCTGGCACTGTGCTAAGCACTGGATATTGTGTTACAGTTATTTAAGTTTGTATCTTCTCCTTCGGGGCTTCTTGAGGGTTCTTATCCTGTCTTACACAAACGTTGTATCTTTCTGATTGCCAAGCTTAGTATTTTGTACAAAGGCCAAATAAATGTTTGTTGAATGAATGCATGAATCAATGTTTTTCCAACTTAAGTGTCTTACCAAATGAGATAACATGTAAAGTGCTTTGCAAACCTTAAAGCATTATGTCAGTGCTCAGTACTACTCCTGTTATTGCCAATGGGTCATTACTGCAGCCTCAATGCCTTTCTCTGTAACTGGTCTTTGATGCTAACAGCTTGGTTAATAGGCTGATACCCGGGCAGTTCTTCTCATTGTAGAGATAGCTAGGTCCCTAAAATAAACTGACAACTTTTATTATAAGAGGAGAGAGGAGAAATCTGCATGCGACTCTTGGATATATGAATTATATTCTTGAGTGAAAATTGGCATGTGTTTGGATGCTGCTGGACTTTGTGAAGTCCTTAAGACATGAAAGCCAAAGTTTGTCTTAAGTATTTTTTTCTCATTTAGTTATTTAAGGGAGTTGGTGTTTATAATCACTGTGCTTATCATCATTATAATATATAGCTCACTTTTTTTTTTTAACATCTTAGCACTTCTCTAAAGTCCTACTTTGATACCTAATCTTGGATAGGAGGTGATACTGAGTACTTGAAAATTGCCAGTGGAGCCAAAGCTCTGGCAAGTCCTACTAAGTTGGAAAGACTTTTGAATACAGTTCTAGAAATACATGGAATTCAGAGAGGTTTCATTATCAGGTTGATTGCAGGGTGATTTTTTTTCCCCCCTCAAATAACTCTTAAAGACCACCAAATTGTAGGGGATGATAGGATCACAGATTTATAGCTAGAAGGGACCTTAGGCACCATGTAGCCCCACCCCCTTATTTTATACCTGAGGAAACTAAGGCCCAGAAAGGAGAAGTGACTTCCTCAGAATCATACAAGATGATAAGTGGTAGATCTGGGATTTGAAGACAAGACCTCTGGCTACAAGTCCAATGCTTTTGGAAAAAAAATGCTTTGCTGATCATTTAAAAAAAATATATAATTGTAGATCTAGAACTGGAGGGGAGCCTCCAATGCCATCCAGTCCAGCCTCCTCATTTTATACATGAGAAAATTTAGGTTCAGGGAGGTTAAATGACCATCACACAGGTATTAGTCATCAAAGATTGGATTCTGCCATGATTATGATAATGATGATAACTAGCATTTATATGGCACTTTAAGGTTTACAAAGCACTTTCCAAATATCTCATTTTATCCTCACAACAACCCTGAGAGGTTGGTGCTATTATTATCATCTCCATTTTACAAATGGGGAAACTGAGACACACAGGTTAAGTGATTTGTCCAGGGTTATACTAGTAAATATCTGAGGCATGATTTGAATTCCAAAATTCTATCTACTGTACCACTTAGTCACCTAATTTCCATTGACTTCTTTCTACCTCCCCCAGCAAGTATATACAGTTCAGCAAAAACAAGTCAACACATTGACCAAGCCTGAAACCCATAGTTCATTGCCTTTTTACTGAGAGGCAAGAGGCATTTTTCAACTTTAGTCCTTTACAGTTGTATTTAGGCACTACATTATTCTTAAGTTTTTTATTGTTTTTTATTGCAGTTGTGGTATAAATTGTTCTTTTGGTGTACTTACTCATTTTACTCTGCATCAGTACAAGATGTACTGATATACAAGACTTCCAAAGTTTCTCTGAATTCTTCATATGTCATTTCTTAGGGTGCAGTAGTATTCCATCACATTCATATACCAGTCTGTTCATCCATTCCACAATTGATGGGCTTCAGGGCTCGTCACTGTATTAGGCCACCTTCCCTAATGGGGAAGGATCATGATTTTAATCAGTGGAAGTAGTACCCACGTTGAGAAAATTATTCAAGGTGCTATATTACTTTAAAGTTTATAAAAATCATCTTTGAGAGGTAGAGAATGCAGGTATGATTGTCCCTATGCTTTGGGGGAGTGGGGAGACAAAGTCAGGTGAAGTAACTTGCCGGTAGTTCCATAGTCAGATGGTGTTAGGACTGGGACTCAAACTGAACGCCTATGCTTGCTCTATTATACCAGTTGCTTGATGTTTTGTGTGTCTGTCTGGTTTTGTAAGACTGTGTTCTCCTCTTTAAAATTTTTACAGTCCTACTTTTAAAAAGAAAACTCCCTATACATGAAAAACAGAAGGGGTATGAAGATGTATAGTTATGCTTCTGCCCTAACCGAATTTGAGATGGACACTATATGGAATATTAGTTTTGTGTAATTCAAATCAACAAAGTCCATTGCTGAAATTCACCTAAAGTCCTAGAGCCATGGGTTGAGTTTTTAAAAAGTTACTTGTAAGTTTCATTTCTAGACCCCAGTGAAATTTTGTTTACATTATTACCATGTTACTAACTTAGGAACTATAATTTTCACAGTTAAAAGGATGGTAATGTTTTTGGTGGAGTATCTTCTCTCTGTACCAGGATCCTGATACCTAGAGAGAGCTGGAAGGGTCTTTAGATGCCTTCTATTCCAGCATCCTTATATTTACAGATGAGAATACTGAGACGTAGAGAGGAAGAATGGTGGAATAGTGGTATGGTGGAAAGAACATTGGACACAGGACTTGAGTTTGAATTTCAGCTTTGCTGCTAACCATCTGGGTGACCTTGGGCAAATCACTTAGTTCTTGGGGGGGGTCTTAGTTTCCTTACATGAGAAGGAAGGGTTTGGCTTAGATAGCACTATCCAGGTCTGTTTTCTGGGAATTATCTTATTCTTTATTTACAGCCATTCAGGTAGCTAGTGGAAGAACCAGGATTCACACTCAGGGCTTCTGAATTCAAGCCCAGTGCTTTTTCTGTTATATTATATTACACTGGTTTCTCTACTGTCATACTTTGCCTGTTACTTTTCCCCCAGCTGTAGATCCCTGGATTCATTAGCTATGTGTAATCATAACATTGTTTTTTTTCCCTCTCTCCTTTAGAAATGTCAGAGAGCCCTGCCTCTCCTGTTGCTAGATACTATGCTCCCCCCACCCCATCTCTAGTGTAGCTTTTTCCCAAAGCAATTAACCTTTTGCATCTTAGACTCCTGTTATAGTAAACACGATAGAATTGGTTTATTTCAGTGTTTTGAGATTTGTTCTTGTGGAAGTTAAGAAGGGGAAGAGCCTAAGGGTGCGGCTGACAGTTATTTTTCCTGGAACATTGGCCTCCAAGTTTTATTGCTACTAGGCTGCATGACTCTAGTGTTGCAACCTTCATTGAATCATAGAAGGGAACATTAGAACATGGAGTTTCAGAGTTAGTAAGGACTTTGAAACATGGAATGTCAGGTTGATAAGGACCCTTAAAACACAAAAAGATTATGTAAGCATCCTGAGCACAAAGGATTATTGTTATGCCAAGCTCAGGACACAGCCTGCTTGCTGGGCCTCAGCTCTGGAAAACAGAGTATCTCCAGAATATTTTGACAAATGTCAGATCAAGAAGGAATCTTAGAGATCATTTAGGCTAACCTCAATCTGATGGTTAAAACCCATTGCAAGATATTCTACAAGCAGTTATCCACCTTCTGCTTGAACACTTTCATTTACAGGGAAATGTTACAAGACTCTTGAGTCTGCTCATGACATTGTTGGCCAGCTCTAATTGTTAGGAAAGTCTTTCTGATATTGAACTGAAATTTGAGTCCCTCCAACTCCTACCCATTGGTCTTACTTTTGCTCTCTGGGGCTGAGTTGAATAAATCTAATCCATTTTTTTTT